TAGGGAAAACCAAAGAGCATGGGACTGGGGGTGGGAATTTTCTCTGTGGAAGGTGATTATATTTACTGCATATAGGGTAAAGAGGGAAGAATTCTCTGTTCTTTCTAGTTCATAACATAAGAGCAGTGATTTGTTCAAAACAAATGGGGGTGAGGCTACTCTTCAAGTTAGGCAGTGTTTGCACTGTGATTGATGCCTGTGCCTTTGGAGGCTGTGTGGGTTTTTGGAAGACAGAATTCTAGATTCTGCACTTGTTCTGTCTCCTGTTTCACTCCATTTTAGCCTCTGTGTTGAGTTTCCAGAAGATAAGTTGTAAAAGGCATGTCTGAGTAGGTAAAAGTTCTGTTGAACTATGTTTACTGTGCTTCTTTTAACTGACAAATACCCTTTTCTTTTTTCCCTTTTTTTTTTAAATAGGATGCAGGACAGAAGAGATTTGGTGCTATTTCCTGTAATATTTGTGGAATGCTTTATACTGTGTCAAATCCAGAAGATGAAACTCAACATCTGCTATTTCATAACCAGTTCATAAGTGCTGTAAAATATGTGGTAAGAAAGCTTTATCTTTTTAAAGACATAAGTGTTATCTTTTATTTTTTGTGTGCTAGTTAAAATCCATATTACATTAAATCATGTTTTAATAGAAGACCATAAATAATCCACTTTGGGAAACAGATATTTTTAAAAGCCCTGGTAGACAGGTTATATGTAATGTATAAAAATATTTAGTAGGATAGTGGCATTTCATTGCCATTGTATTCTTTCTGTTACAATTGCCTGGTCTTGGGGGGAGTGAGGGGAGTGATAGGAAAACAAAGGAATGTCACTGTTGTGAAAGAAATGCAGGTTTCAGTACAACTGGTGTTTGCAGTGGTTGGCTTAATAGGCAGATAAAGAACTGATTGTCCTGGTTTTGTAGTTGTTTAATCTTAGGTGACTTGTAAGTTACTTTTTCTTAATTATGAGTAATTTGAAGAGACACTGCCTAGGAATCTAGCTGATAGAACTTCATAGTATATTGAAACTTTACTGAATTTGTAGCATGTTTTTAATCTTCAAATATAAAGTCCAAAGTATTATTCTATAACTTCATCATACGTGCTGTGTCTCAGTATGTCTCATGTTAAAGCTCAGATTTGAACAATGTTGTACAATTTGAAGTACATTGTAAAATCAGCTACTTCACCCTAGCTGATATTACAAGACTTACAGGAAATCCTGGTCCCATGTCTGAAATCCAGAACAGAATCCACAAAGTCTGTTTTCTTTATCACACATGTTACCTTCAGTACTCTACACTCGAGTAGATAAGACCTCCAGGATAACTGAACTGAGGCCACCAATTCATTTCATGTAGGTACCACATGGCTGCTGGGCTGCTTTTAAACCTCAAGCTCAATTTTATCCCACTGTTTACAGATACAGAGATGTGTCTTTGTAGCTGGTGTTTGAAACCACCTGGTAAATCATTCTGGTATTCTGTTTGTGGTTAGTTTTTGCTGAGTAAACCAGACATCTTGAGAGATCTCTTCTGATACACTGTGGGGTGAGAGTAGGCAGAAAGTGATGCAGCACAGGAAGTTGTTATGGCAACACAGAATACAGCTCCCCATTTTATTCCTCTCTGTCCTCCCCCCTCACCCAGCCAAGTGCTTTCACATCTTGAATGTTACCAAAGATGTAAACCTAAGTTACAGCAGATGGTGTTAGTTCTTTTGGACAGAAGCTGGCAGATGAGTTCAGTAGTTACCTAAAGCTGCTACGTTCACAAAGGTAGGAAGCTACTCTGAAGTTTGAATATTTGGGGATTTGAAAGAGCTGAAATTTCTCAGTTTTATGTATGTCTAGAGTAACAATATGATTAACATAAAAGTGAAAGAGCTGGCTGCCTAAAAACAGCTGTAAATAACTATGCATAAAGTTAGGTATGCTTTTAATTAGGCAGAAGCTTTCTATATTGTTTCCTCAGTTGCTAGGCATCTGTTTAAAACTTCACACAAGCAAATTATTTGTATTGTCAGTTCAGTGAGTAAACAGTTTTCTCTCTGAAAGCTTTTAAGAGTCTAGTTGTGTTTTGTGACATCATAGAGCAATGCTTCACAATAGGAAAGACAGAGAGGAGTTATTCTAGAATAGAAACTAGTGTGAGAGGCAGGGGAAGGAATCTTAAAAGTCTACAGATGCCCCTCTTTTTTTTCATTTTTTCCCTCATAACAATGGGATTGACACTCTGTGTTTTCTGCATGGGTAAATAAATTTTGCCATGCTAAATAGCTAAGTCTTCAACACTAGTCATTTGGCCCACAGTCAGTGGTTCTTGGTTGATTGTGTTGTGGCAATCTCCATAACAAACATCTTCACCTCCTCTTAGAAAATAATTTGAGTTCTAGATAAGCATTTTTGTCAATGAATTAGTACAGCAAGTCTCTACTTAGGAATTCTTGTTCTTCTGGTATTTCTGGATGAATAGTTGCTAATTATGCTGGTTTTGCTGGAAGGTTTCTAGTGGCTCTTGTTGGCTTGGGGGTGTGGTATGCTTGGTTTCTAGATGTGTATGTAGCTGCTGTGTGGAAGCTGTAACAACCTGCCTCTCCCTGACAGAAAGTGTTAGCTGGACAGTAGCATCATGGGATTAAAGGAAATATGACTAGAGGAAGGCTTGGTAGCTTCTTGTTTAGACTTTCTGGTCTTGGTGACCTTGGAATGTGGACAGGCTGTGATACCAGACAGTATCAATTGTGTCTCCTCTTTGGCATACCACATACTATCAACTTAGTGTTTCTGCAAGATTCTTTTTAAAGAGCAGGTTATTACTTTTAATGTTTCTAAGCTGTAAAGCCAAAAACCTGTTAGGCAAATCCTGGGTGGGTTCAGGTGCCTGGTGTGAAGGCAGTGAATGTGGGTGTATTTCAAACTCATCCTCCTGATGAAGAAGAAAGTGGAAGAAGCTGATATTTGAGCTACTGTTTAATCTGCTTAGTTGTAAACAGCCCTTTTCCTGTAACTACACCAAGCTCAGCTTTGAGGTTTTTCAGATGTTCAAATTAAAGAAAAAAAAAGGCAACATTTGACTTTTTGGGACCTAAGGTGAATAGAATATTGGGATTGAAGATGATGATGAACTTCATGTCATCTTTGAAACATTTCATACTTGTCTTGATTTGCCTTAATTCCACAAGTGATGCATCTGTACAAGATAAAACTAATGTTTCAATTAAAGTTCTTGCCATTAGCTATCTTCTGTGAGAATCTTAGTTTAAACAGAGGGTAGTATTCAGTAGTAACATCTTCATATTATATTCCTAGGAAAGAGAGGCAGAATATCTGTAATTTGGTGGAGTCAGGAAGAAGAATGCAGCAGACAGATTCCTCTGCTAAAATTATCAAGGGTAAAAGTGCATAGAATTTCCTACAAAATTTGATTGTTAGGGGAAAATTGCCAGGAATTATACAGTATTAACCACGTTTTCATCACTACCTCACTGTTCTTGAGGAAAAAATAGTATAAGAAAAAACACTGCTGATTTTCATGTATTGGTTTGAGAAACAGGGAGTACAGACAGGCTGGAACTGACATATCTAGGAAGACATCAAGTTTGTCCTCTCATTCCCCACTATTGCATAAGAACTTCTAAAACAGGAGGAAGTGTATGGGAAGCAGTCTGCACCTCCTCACTTATGCTTTGAAAGACAAATTACATCAGACATGATTTTAAACTGTTATTTTAAATAGTGTTAAAATAGTGGTTAAAAAAATGTTAATAGGTGTGTTAAGGGAAATAATTTCCAGAGCACATGCAAGATACTGGTACTAAAGCATATTTTGTGTACTGTGGCTATCTAATAGGATCAGTGCCAGCTAAGAAAACACATTTTCCTTAACAGCTTTAGGGTTAGAATATGACAGAGCTGGGCCCAGTCTTGTGCACAACTTCCATTTGGCAGGTTTAAAGGAAGCACAGATCATTCCTTACCAAAACTAGCAATAAAGGATACTGAAGATACAGCTATTTATGTGAAATGTTAGGTTTTATCTTTGAAATCCTTAGAGCTGTATGTATCAATAACAAAGGAATGTGACTTTAAAATAAAAGTCTTGGATGAGCTTAGGGTTTGCAGAATCCTTTTGGAAAGCTTCATCTGAAAGATACATTTCTGAATAAATTCCAGAGTACTTCAGTTGAGAAACTACCCCTCCTGTGACTGTGATTAATCCCCATGTTAGAGTAATCACTTAAGAAAATGAAGAGGTGGACAATAATGAAAAGAAGGAATTTGAAGTAGTAGAGAGTCAATTATTGCATTTTTACAGAATTGTTTTTAGGCTACTGCTGATATACTACTGCTTAAAAGTATAAGAGCAGTGTGATGTTTAGCAATGTTTTCTTCCACTGGCTTTCAGTTTGTTGGCAGTAACTGGCTATGATGTTAACAGGATACCTTAACCTAAAATACAGAGTTAAATTTTCTACATTAGGCCTGCAACCTAAAATTTAGTGCTAAATGGTCTATGTTAGGTGGGCAACATTCTAGCTGTGGTAGGATTGTGAAACACATTGCATGTATCTGCTGAGTGATGGTCACAGTTGGTTTAAAGTAGATGATAGAAAGCTTTCTCAGGGCTAACAGGCAGGCAAAAGGCAGCAAAAGACAAAAAATTGGGAGAGGTTGGCATTTGAGGTTGGAGAGGAGTAACCTCTGCCTGAATCTTTTGACACCCTTTCTAACAGTCTCAAAAAGCATGTCACAATCTCACAAATTTCACTTCTCTGCTTATCTGAATATTGTGACACTGCTGTTTACTGCCCCTTGTGATCAGACCTTAATGTATAGAAATTAAAATAGGGTCTTTGTGTTGGCAGCTACTGCTGAGAAGAGAAGCAGGCAGGGTTAAAATGGTGTCTGTGTTGCAAGCTTTGCCATGCTGGGTGCTGAACTCATACTTAAATAGCTTCAGGGCTACCAGCAAGTAGATCAATTTCTAAATTTACTCTCTTCATGTCTTGTTTGGAGTAAGGGCATAAAATCAGCATGGTTAAAATGAGACACAGATCAAGTGTTGTAACACATTTTGTCTTTTTCTTTTTTTTGGGGTAGTATATATGGCATTGATTCAGTGCCAAATTCTATTGTTTGATCTTCAGTTGAACATTATTTTCTGGGAAGTTACAGATTTCAATGAGAATTATTCCATCAATATTGTTTCTTCAAAGGCTTTTTTATTTAAAGTTGCTTTGAGTAAGACTTGTAGATCAGCCTTTTCAGTGGCTGAAGTTACTTCTGCATTCAGCATTTTTAGGTCCCATCAAAGCAACTAGAGTTCTGATATCTACCAGTCCCATCTTACTAGATTTAAGTGGCTTTTTTGTTTTGTTTTTTCCATGCAGGTACTGCTCATTATTCACCACGAGTGTGGATCTGAAGAAGAGTTAATTACCTCTATTTTTTTGAGTATGTTTATACTTCAGATACACACAACGTAGCCTCCTTCCCCATTAGGTTCTTAGAAGGTAGTTATAAATTTTTTTCTAGTATCCTTCTTGTGGCTTTAACAGTTATGATCAGTAAAAAAAATAAACTATTCCTTACATTTTGGGCAACTGCATGCCAATCAGTTCACTTAGAACCTCCTGGAGGTCTTTCGCATGCCAAACTTTAAACCTGAGTGTGTATTTGTGGAGGTAACTATGTTAAAAAGAAATCTTTTAATAAAACCTAGGATTTTTCCCATTCACTGGACTTGAGAAAATAAGTGTTCCATAGGTTTGGAAATGAGCTGTGTGAGCCAAGTGTGCTACTTCTCTCTTAAAATTCAGTTTACACTACAGTCCTGGGGAAAAAAAAATCTAGCTGGGAAATTATAAGACACTTTCACAGATTGTTTCTAGACATAGTTAGGATATTGTATAAATTATTGTATAAATAAAGTCATATATGTTGTGCTTATTTTAAAAAGCTAGCTGAAGTTTCCTTCTCTAGCAAAGCAACTGTAAATAGTATGAAGTCTCTGCATATGTTCAGTGTCTAGAACAATCCTATGCAATTTCCGTTTTTAAAAGTACATCTTGTGTATGGTTTAGATAAGTCTTTGTTTTATTTAGGGTTGGAAAAAGGAGAGAATTTTGGCCGAGTATCCTGATGGGAAGATAATAATGGTTCTTCCTGATGACCCAAAGTACGCCCTGAAAAAGGTATGGGGAGGAGGACTGGGCTGGAACACCTGACCTGCTGTGAGGGTCTCATACAGATGATGAGAATGGTCCTGGCAGAGTTTGTACAATTTAGATGTGAGCTGTTGAAGCTGGACCCAGCACTGCAGTGCCTGTGTAGCTTTTTCCACAGGCAGGCCAGACATCTCACTCTGAGGCACTGCTGCTCTCTGCTCTGGGTTGAGCACTATCAACCAACTGATCTCTAAATTATTTTTGTAATATACCTGCTGAATATCTGCCAGATGTTTTATGTAATATAAACATCTTATTATACTTAATCTGAAATGGAGCATGAATATGACACTATCCTCTAAATGACTTTTGGATAAAAACAGATTTAGGTGGAAAGTGGCCTCAGTCCTCTTGTCCACCCCCATGTTCAAAGTCATTGATTTTGGTTAGGTGGGGATTTGTGGTGACTAGTAGGTGCTTTATTGCAGTACCACTGTCACAGGATCACAGAATGGTTGAGGTGGGAAGGAACCTCTGGAGGCTGAAAAGTCAGCTCTTTCTGATGGCATGGCTGTAGTGGGGGTTTTCTGAGTAACACAGATTTGAAGTTACTGAGAAGAAACTATGAATTTTCTTTTTACAGTATTTAATGCAAATAAGTTTATTAAGTTCTGTTTCTCTGGTATTATCTGGGTACATTCACTGCACATGCATTTTTAATGAAATGGCTGATAAGCATCTACATAAAGTACAAAGAGGGGCAGAGGAAAGGAGGACCATAGCAAAGTAATAAGAAATGTAAGTAATTTAGGGCAGAGTTCTCTAGTTCTGTGTGGTTAAAGTTGAGAGACTCTGCAGCTGTCCCCACTGTGGGTGACTGACTTCAAGAGTGGTCACTTCCAGTGTCTCAAGTGGGTTAACTGGACTTGTCATTAAGAGATGGGTACCCAAAGGTTAGATGGGAAAGTAGAGAGTAACTGGTACCATGCCTTTTAAAAACTGTTCTTTAAAGCACTTTTAAAAGAGTTTTCCTTTGATTCATACTAACTTCATATAGTGATAGCATCAGTAATTCTGTTAGGAATCCACTTGCTTTCCTCATTAATGGCAGCATGCATTAAAGGTGGTTGTGTTCCTCAATGTGCCACACAGGAGAGGCCACCTCATTTCTGCCTCATGAGAGAGAGGCTGTGTCAGTGCCCAGGTGGAGGCACAAGGATCCCCCAGTAAAACCTCAGCTCCTGCATGAGCTGTTTTTTAGATTCATGCTGGCATGTATATAGTCCTTCTAAACTTGCTAGGATTGAAGATTATTTTAGTTTCAGTTTCTCTTTGCAAAGCTGGTGGAAGAGCAGAAAGCCTGAGGAAGGAGACATCTTCATTTGGTTACAACAAATGCCTGTGTTGTCCAGCTGCCTTGGCACTCTGGCTGGCACAACACCTGTGATGGATTAGCTCTTTCAAGACCTCAGAAATGACAGAAAAGGTTCAGCTGAGCCAGTTTAACTTTTGGCACGGATCTCATTTACTTCCAGCATGTCACAGCCTACACTTGGATTAGCTGAGTTCTCTCTATTAGCCTGTGACTAATTGAAGGTTGGACTTAATGGAAGCTGACTTAGAGATCTCTCTTCCTACGTCCAGCCAAATCTTCTTTAAGGAACATTTATCTGAGCTGATGTGCTGTGGGTTACTTGAGGTAATCCTTAACTCCTGGAATAGCTCTCGGTGTTGTGGACACCTTAGTGCATTTTTGCAAATACATATTTGTACAAATGTATGTTTACATGTGGTGTTTAACATTTAAACTTGCTTTGACAGGTTGAAGAAATCAGAGAAATGGTGGACAATGACCTGGGATTTCAGCAAGCCCCACTCATGTGTTACTCCAGGACTAAAACTCTGCTTTTTATTTCCAACGACAAAAAAGTTATCGGCTGTTTAATTGCAGAACACATCCAGTGGGTGAGTGATGAACTGGAGAGAGACAGTCTGTGCCAGTGCTCAGGGACTGTTCCTCAGATGGTCTGAAACTACAGCATTACCTAAGAGCCCAAGTCCAGCCATTCAGCAGATAAATACTTGGGTGCCTCTGCCAGAGAGGAGTCTGTTGGTGGTGGATCATTGGAATGTAGTCACCCATTTCTGTACAGCTGAGACACATGTTCAGTGCCCTGCCTGGCCCAGACCTGCTCACCTCAGAGCCCTATACAGCAGGAGGGTGGAGCTTGTCTTCCTCACATGTCCTTGGGCTTGCTCTTGCTCCCCTCTGCCTTGTTGATGAGCCAGTTGCACTCCCTGCCCAGCAGAAACCCAGCGTGGATGGAGAGCAAGTACTCTGCAGGGTTGAGTTGAGTCATTGTGGGGCCAGGTAGCTCCACAGCAAACAGAAGCAGAGTTCCAATTTTGAAACTGTTCAGAAATTAAATTTAAATGAGGTGCAAATTCCCAATCTCTTTGGTGATGCATTTTAGCCAGTGAGTGTGTTTAACTGCAGTAAGTGACAGAGGAGAGGTTTGGTGCTGTCCTTAGCGACGCTTTTATAAAGTGACAAATATTCTTTTACATCACCTGCAGGGCTACAGGGTTATAGAGGAGAAGGTCCCAGAGGTGAGCTCGGAGAAGGAGAAGGTGATATTTGAGAGGCAGAAGGCCTGGTGCTGCTCCACCTCCCCAGAGCCTGCCATCTGCGGGATCAGCCGCATCTGGGTGTTCAGCATGATGCGCCGCAGGAGGATCGCCTCGCGGATGATCGAGTGTCTGAGGTGATGGACACCCTCCTGGGGTGATGGGCTTGGGAGGGAGCTCAGCCAAGGGTGTTTATTGCTTTGTGTATCTCAAGGCTGTATTTTTAAGGTGCTGGTGGCACTGCAGTGTAGGTTTGAGCAGAGCTGGCAGTTGTGGTTCTGTGTGGAGTTATGGGCTTGGGAGGGAGCTCAGCCAAGGATGTTTATTGCTTTGTCTATCTCAAGGCTGTATTTTTAAGCTGCTGGTGGCACTGCAGTGTAGGTCTGAGCAGAGCTGGCAGTTGTGGTTCTACGTGGAGTGCTGCAGTAGCTTGTCTTTAACAGAAACCTTTCTGCTGAGTGCAGGTATCATCAGTCCCTCTAGCAGGCTGCTGAGAGCTGGGGTAAACTCCTCCAGGGTAATGACAAGTGAAGGAAAGGAGACTCTCTGGTCAGTCACAATTACCCAAGTGTTAAGGACTATGACATAATAGCTGGCCAAACCTCCATGCCATGGAAATGGAAAGGGGGGAAGAACAGAGATGAGCACATAAAACTATTTGATATGGTCTGGTGGCTTCCAGCTGTACCTTGGTTTTGCTTTACCCAGGTTTGCTGAGCCTTTGAGATATCTACAGTTTCCATGGAGCTTTAGTGGTTAGTGATGAGTGTGTTCAGCTGAATGCTCAGAGCTAGATGCATCAAAGGACTCAAACATCCATGCTACCATTGAGATAAATGATGAAAATGTTGCAGCTCCAAACCTTAGGCTTCTCCCAGTGACCGCTCCTAGAAGTTTAAACACCTGTTCTGGGCAATGCCAAGAAGTACCCACATGTTACTGCTGCTGGGCTGGCAGGGTTGTGCTGGGTGCCTGGCTGGCTCCATCGTGTTGGTGTCTGTGGCACGGGCACTGCTCTCTGCCAGTCCTTGCCTCGGGTGGCTGGAGCGTGGCAAGGCTGTTCTGCTCTGCAGGGTGCATCTTGCCTGGCTGCTGAGGCAATTGGAAACTTCTTAGAGACCACGTTCTGTCTGAGGTGGTGGCTGTGAAGCTGAATTCAGAGAAGCATGTTAACCTGGTTTTATCTGTGGCTGATTTCAAACTGTGTATTCAGTAGCTTCCTAGGAGATTTCTAAAGAAATGCTTTCTTTCCCAAAGCAGTGCTGAAGGTGCTCCCTCAGTTATAGCTCTAAAGAACCCTGAGGATCAGTTTTAATGGTTTGTTGTAGCTAGTGAGATGTCTCTTTTATTTCTTGGCTGTGCACTGCACCTTGCTCACCCCTTGCTGTGCTCTGGTGCTGGTTTGACCTTCTTTAGCTCATTGCTATGTTAGCAGAAAACAGGTTCACCAAAAAAAGCTTTGTGTGTGTACTCCTACTCCCAGCAGTCTCTTCTCTGTGAAGAAAGGGTAGGAATGAATGCAGACCTTTTTTTCTAACTCTGGTGCTGGTTTGACCTTCTTTAGCTAGCAGAAAACAGGTTCACCAAAAAAGCTTTGTGTGTGTAGTCCTACTCCCAGCAGTCTCTTCTCTATGAAGAGAGGGTAGGAATAAATGCAGACCTTTTTTTCTAATTGAACTCTTGAACAAGCAATTGCTCTGTGTGAATTTAATCTAGAAGAGCAAACCCTTGCAGAACCCTCCCAGAGCAGGTGATCCTCCCTGCAGTGTGAAAGGAGGGGACAGCTCACCTGAGCAGAGCCATCTGCTCCCGAACCCCCTGCCATTCACTGGCTTGTGGCCCGACGGCATAAACATCCCTGCCTCACTCCCTGAAGGTAATTATCTTTTCCCTTTTGTTTCCCTCCCTTTGAAACAGAAGTAACTTCATCTACGGCTCGTACCTGAGCAAGGAGGAGATTGCTTTCTCTGACCCCACCCCTGACGGGAAGCTCTTTGCGACGCAGTACTGTGGCACGGGCCAGTTCCTGGTGTACAACTTCCTCAACGGCCAGCACCAGGCCTAGCTGCTCCCGAGGGGTCCCCTTCCCCAGGGGCACCCCTGCCAGGCGGGGGGCTGCCCTCCACAGGAGCCAGGGCCATTCTTACTACAGTGAACTCAGGACTGGTAACAACCAAAAGGTTGTACTATTTTATTAAAATTGTAAACAATGCAGTAATAGGCTAACTTTGTTTTTTATAAGAAAGATATTTTATTAACTTTTACAGAAGTTTGATTGTATTTTATCTAGTTAGTCATGTTTACATGCAGCAGAAAGTTGTTCATAGTGGACTGTAAGCCAAGGCAAAGACTCTGGTCTCCGGAGGGGCTC